CGGTCAAACCTAAAGTTACCTATCTATGTTAAAAGCCAATTAAGACTCTAACCGCCTAAGGGAACTAAGCAATTAACTTAACCAAGGTACTCAATGCGGGTAAGTACGTAGGGGAGAAACGGAGAGGGAATCCTTGCTTTGCTCAAAACCTGTGAGATAACGAATGTACAAAAAAAAAGAAAACGTAAAAGAGTGTAAAGGTACATAAACAACTAACTTAATCAAGCTATACGTAATACATACAGGGGGTACCAAAAGTACGTCCCACCCCTGCTAACTTTTGAACGAATTGAGCTAGGGTAATGAAACTTTGGGAATGTCCCTGTCTCAAAGGGGACCATCATTTGGGCGGGTCAAAATTTTGGTCCCCCCTCGGGGGGGGGGGCGCGGGGGGCCCCCAACTTTTTTTTTTCAAAGGCAACCCCTATCTTGTGATACCTCATTCGAAGGAGCATAAAAAACTAAGAATTTTGGCGCAAACTGCAGATCAATATCTTAATTTTTGACCGAGTTATGATAGGTCAAAGGTCAAATTTGACCTATTTTCAAAAAATCATAACTTCGGTTCAAATTATCGTAAAGAAAAAAATAGAACGGGAAAATTTACCAAATTGTGTCCGCTTTTAAGTAAAAATTGCAGAAATCACTTCGATTTAATTTTAAGGGGGGGGGGCTCGGACCCCAAAATACGTCAATTCAAAGGTCATTCAATTTTCCCACGAAGTAAGCCAATTTCCCCTGGATTTGCCTCCACATTATCTCAGTAAGGTCAAAATCAGTTCAACAGTACGTTGGTAAGTCCCCAAATTTCGGGGAAAGTTGAAAAAAAAACGAAATTTAAACGGTCAAATTTAATCACCTTAAATGTCGTTTTATTTAACTTTTCCCGAAATTTGGGGACTTGCCAACGTACTGTTGAACTGATTTTGACCTTACTGAGATAATGGGGAGGCAAATTCAGGGAAAATTGGCTTATTTCGTGGGAAAATTGAATGACCTTTGAATTCACGTATTATGGGGTCAGAGCCCCCCCTTAAAATTAAATCGAAGTGATTTCTGCAATTTTTACTTAAAAGCGGACACGATTTGGTAAATTTTCCCGTTCTATTTTTTTCTTTACGATAATTTGAACCGGAGTTATGATTTTTTGAAAATAGGTCAAATTTGAAATTTGACCAATCATAACTCGGTCAAAAATTAAGATATTGATCTGCAGTTTGCGCCAAAATTCAAAGTTTTTTATGCTCTTTCGAATGAGGTATCACAAGATAGGGGTTGCCGTTTGAAAAAAAAAAGTTGGGGGCCCCCCGCGCCCCCCCTCCCCCGAGGGGGGACCAAAATTTTGACCCGCCCAAATGATGGTCCCCTTTGAGACAGGAACATTCCCAAAGTTTCATTTTCCTAGCTCAATTCGTTCAAAAGTTAGCAGGGGTGGGACGGACTTTTGGTACACCCTGTATGGCGTTATGGGAATATGTAAGGGAAAGTGGAAAGATATACAATACAAATTTCTGAAAATCTGCGATAACTGAAAAGAAAGAAAAAAAAAGAAAAAAAGGCTAGCATGGAAATCACTCGAAACGACAAGAAATACAATACAAATTTCTGGAACCCTTTAATAAATGGAAAAAATGGAATAAATGTAAAAAAAAAAAAAAAAAAAAAAACTGCAAAAGAAATTAAATAATTGCGGCGTGGGGGCGGCAGTAACTTTCCGCTAATTGAGAGCTGTTGGTTGAAATCGAGGACTCTGTAAAATTTAGTAACACGAAATCAGCATGGGAAGAATCGAAAGAAAGGGGGGATGGATAATTAATAGTGAACCGGAGTGAAAACGGGAAGAGGGAAATCGATGGGGGGGGGGATTTAAAAGAGAGAACAATAAATACAAAAAAAAAGGAGAAAAAAGTGTAATGGCTGTAAAAATGTAAAAAATAGGATGGTCCTGTCAAGTTGTTTATTATGGGGCATTAAACGGTACCAGGGCGTAAAACACTCCCAGGAGTATTGTTTTATTATTACCCCGAAGCTCCACCACTTGAAGCACGGTGGCTACCGGCCCCCACCTGAAAGCTAAATGACCTCTGCTGCCTCTAAGAGGACGAAATAAGTGGGAGAAGAATAGAATGAAAGACGAACCAATTGTGTTGAGCCGTTTATTCCAAGCCGGCTCCTAACACTGCCACTACCGCACTATCTTATGACTATCTTATAGAGCAAAGGGCGAAACGATCACTAACGACAGGGCGAAACGGTTAGAATACTCCGTGCGACACGAGAGGGGGGAGGGCGGAAGGTCGAAGCTTAGGGGCGACTCGAGGGGCGACTCGGCTCCGAACACTCTGCGGCGAAACTTCTGGCGAAACTCTCGAAGTTCAGCGCGAGACTGAATCGCCCTAAATCAGTCGAGCCTCGCCTTCCTTGGGATTTTTAGGCCTCAAACCTTCGTTCCCGTGGGAAACTCGGCTGAAATAGTCAGATTCAGCGCCAGACATCTGGCTGATGTCATACACATGCTCGTCCTCGGGGAAAGACCACGCCGAGATGCCGCCCTGCGTCAAGAGGCGACAGGGTCCCCTTGATTGGGAATTGGCTGTTCTAGAGATGGGGTAGACATAGCAACCTCGGTCGGGCACTTCGGTGAAGACGAGCATGACAGAAGTCGCCGCAGTGATGACGCCGGGCTTTTTGGGAGAATCCGCCGGCGGCCAGAGAGTATAGAAGGTTAGAGACCCGACTGGATAGGGAAGAATTGAAACAGAAGTTGGAACCGTGAGCAAGCAGTTGCGTACGTTGGCGCGAGAGTGCGCGGCGAGCGGAATCCCATACCACTGCGCTGATTGGCTAAGCGAGAGTTGCGGACGGACGATGTATAAAAAATTGCCTACGTGGAGGTGGTCCGGTAGCAACATACCCGCCGCTAGTCACTGGAAAACAATAGAAAATAGTAGTTGCGTACGTTGCCAGCGAGCGCGCTGCGAGCGCTTCTGTTTCAATTACCTAGCATCGAGTCGGGCCTCTACCGGCGGCGGACTCCCTCGCCCCGCCGACCGACCGGCCGGGCGCTGAGAAACTCAGCCTTCCAGCCTGCCCTATGCTGGATGGCATTTTTATGCTACAGTCAGGTAATATTATTAGCCACCAATGAACTAAAACTAAAAACTGTAAGACTAAACAACCACACATCTGACACGCACAGTAGAGTGGAATGTAAAGTCTTTTTTTACTTTTAGATTCTCATTTCTTTTATGTTTATTAATCAAAGAGTTTATACATTTTCAAGTTTATATAACTTCCAAATTCAGAGAGGTTTTTTTATCTCTTTTTTTTTCATTTGAGTTATTTATGTCCTGGGTATAATTTCTCAAGTGATTTCTTGTTTCGCTCATTTTTTATTTTCTATCAATTTGAGTTTTCTAGTCGGTTTCTTTAAACAAGACTTTTAAGTCCTTTGAGCTAGAGTCCAAAATCAAGCCCGTCTCAGAAAAAAGAGTGAAGAGAGTGCATGAAGTATGGTAACCTGTTAGAAATGTGAATAGTAGCAAAGCCGAAAATCGACTATCCTCTCGTCTTGGTCGTTCGAAATTACAAGTTCTTAAATGGGCAATACTGCTATTGTTGGTCCGATTTTCTTCGAATTTTGGTCAGTTTTCCTTTCTTTTAAAATTTTATTGATTGTTTTAACACAATGACGTTCTATACATAGGATTCACAAAGTTTTGGCAAGATTAAAATGACATTTTTGAACAAGTCACAACGGAAATTCCTTTGATGCTCTGATTATGCACATGTTTTAGCGCACTGCAAATCGTTCGACCAATCACAAAATGGAGTACCTAGCACCAGTGATTTCCCAGGGCGCATTTTGTGGATTGTCTAATTTTTTATTGATCGATTGCTTCTCTATGTAAGACCAACAGGCGAGTACCAAGTACCTGCTTTCATTGTAAGTTAGGTTTGCAAGGAGAAGAAAAAGTTAATGTTTTTTTTCAAGTGCAATTCCCCTTCTCGACAGATTGTCGTGAAGCTTCAGACAGCTTAAAGAATTTTGGTGTTGACTCAGATTTTTCATCAAAATGTGTCAGAAAAGTATTCTGGCGAGCTTTGGAAGGTTGTCTAC